GGTATAATTTTTGAAGCAATTGTTTGCCACGTAATGATTGAAAATACTATTTTTGTCACTCGATTTGCTTTTGTTATGAACGGGTTGTTTGTGTTTGAATAGGGTTTGGTTTTGGTGGCAAAGGCACAGCTGGCGATCACATCCATAGTATAGGCGCCCATCACTCGCTTTACATCCACTTCCGTCCGACCGGTGGACACATCTCTGTCGAGTGCGGTCAAGAAGTCACGGCAACACTCGTTGATGAGTGGATACATGTGTTTGAGTTTGGCTGAAGTGAATGTAGGGCTGGCTATGGCTCGGATCCGTTTCCAGTGGTCATCCCTCGCTGTGACCATTGTCTTCGAGAAGATGCCGCACCCTTTGCCCGGCACTGGACGTCGGTTACGGAATTTGTAAAAGTCTTTTACCAGAATTTGTTTGATGAGCACCGGGTCGGCCACTGTTAGTATGGGTGCTCCCCATTCATAAAAGCTATGCATTTGACAAAAGCAACATTTTAAATAATTATTATTCACTATATTTAATATAGTAATATTAGATGTATTTAAAAAATGTTTCAATTACCCAACAATTTTACCATATGTTTTATACCACTCCATATCTAGTAATGGTCTCGGATTTAAGGCCAGACTTAGCATATTTCCAAAATATGGTATTGGTTTAGGGCCCGGAATATTACGGCTTTTCCAGTAACTTATTTTACGAATCCATTTGCTAGAATTAATTGAACGTAATTTATTTAAACAATGTGAATATTATACCCTTGTTATTTTGGTAAATGCTATACTCACATATACTCAAACGCGATTAAAATGGCCACAATAGCCGCTACTAAATACCGCAGGTATAATGCGGCAAACATTGAACACAATATTAATACTGCCATTACTTTTATTAGTGTTGATATAAAACAATGTAAATAGAATAGCTTAATTAATTATAATTTTTGAAAATGTTATAACGTATAATAATATGATAAAAACTATTTGTACACAATATAGCTACTCTATCATTTCATCAATATCATCAAATAATAAATCACAAAATTATTATAAGGGAATATATCCAGGTCTATATATACGGCATATGGTACATTTATAATGTGCATGTGTAATGTGTCTGACAAACAATATGAGGACAATTTTTGTTTTTAAATAAAAATATATTTAGTGTCTATTAGTATCAATAATTGGTTTATCCCTAAATGTGTTTAGGTAATTAATTTTTGTTATTGTAATTTTTTAAAAATATAACAACATTGTTTTTTATTCGCAAGGAAATTTATATAGTTTATGCAACTTTTATAATGTTTATCATTTTATTTAAATAATAAGGAAATTGTATATTTCAAAACATTGTATCATTAAGCAACATTGTGAAACAGTTATATACTGCATATTTTAAAAATAATCTCAAACTAAACTACCTATCCTCAAGGTGATACTGTAAGCTAGACTTTAGCCGATTAAACTTGATAAATGTGGCAAAATAAAAGTTACAGAGTTTTATTTATAATTTTAACAACTTGTTTTTATTATATTTTTTAAGGAACTCGTTTTTATTATGATATAAACCTAACGTTACTATAAATAGAATTAATGAGAATAGTTAATTACACTTTACAATTGTGCAGTTGCATGGTTTTATACATGTACATGTTTTTACATTATACAAGTTTTTATAAATGTATGTAAATTATGAAATTGTAGTAAAAATGACCATATTTATGACATAATATATTTTTATAGACATTAATTAAGCCTTATTGTTTACATGCAACATATTGTGACGTGATAAAAAATGAATAACAAAATAATAATTATCATGTTATTTTGTGTAAAAATATCCATTCATTAATAGAAGTAAATTTATATAACAATATATTAAGTAATACATTAATTTTATACCATAAACATCTATTTTAAATTTCCTTGTAATTATATTATTTATGATAACACAGCTAACTTATACCTATGTAATTATATGTTAAATGTTAATTTGTTTTATTAAATAATTTACATTTTCATTAATAGTTATAATAAAATAAATCAACATTTAAAATAAAACATTGTCACAATGATTATTTTTGTATAATTATAAATCCTTAGTTATATAAAAATAAAAATATTTTGTAAATATTTAATTTATATAATTTATTAAATTCCAACTTGGTCCAAGAACAATAATTTAAATATATTGAATAAAATTAGATGAAATAGGCTAAAATAAAAAACAAGTACGTTTAACAAAAAATAACAATGTACAATGTTGCTAACGTTTTTCAACGCCTACAATAAGCCGTTTGGCCATTAATAAACCTGTTCCGACAAATGGAGTGAAAATAACCGGTATATCGGTGTCGGGCACCCGATAGAACCGGAATTTTTGTGTAATTTTGGCCAGGGCCAATTTAGCTTCAAGCAGCGCAAAGCGCATACCAATGCAATTACGGGGTCCGGAGCCGAACGGCAGGTATGTATAGGGTTTGATGTTATGGCGATTTTCGGGCAAAAACCGTTCGGGTTTGAAAGCAAACGGGTCGGGATAGTGATCGGGGTCGTGATGTATCGCATACACTGGTAGTTCAGCAATCACTCCCTTTTCCATCTTAAACGTTGCGCCATCGCTACCACCGGTCAGCACCACGTCCTCCATGGCCTCCCTCTCCAGCCTCACTACTGGCGGATAATTACGAAGTGTTTCCGATATAACGGCGTCGAGGTATGGGAGTCGGGACAGGATATCGTAGTCGATGTCTCCCTTATCATTGAACGCCTCTTTGGTCTCCGCCACCAACCGGTCCTGAATATCGGGATTGAGTGCCAACTCATACGTACAGTACGACAGAGTTGTGGCCGTCGTCTCGAAGCCGGCGATAAAGAAGAGAAAACAATTGGCGAGTATTTCATTAGTGGTTAACTTCTTCTCCACGACTCCACTCAACGCCTGTTTCTCTGCCATCAGTTCGTCGACGCCTTCGTTCACGTGATGCCCTTCGGCCGCCCCATCGGTGGCCGACGACTCGGCGGCCACTTTCACGGCGTGATTGTCATTATTATTGTCCTCTCTCTCCACATCCATCAACAGCTGTAGGAAATCATTATTTTTTTTGCCCGATTTCTTGCGCTCAGCCATTATTTTTATGACAACTTCGATGAAAAACATGGCATCAGACGAACCCCTGTTGACCACTCGCTTATAGACCCAGTTCTCGGTCACATACGCGGGTAACATGCGATTCATTAACATCTTGATCGGATTGCTATTAAACACAGCGTTGGCTTTCGTGACGAACGCGTTGTTTGGGTCGGAATAGGTGTTGGTTTTGGTGGCGAAGGCGCAGCTGGCGATCACATCCATCGTGTAATCGCCCATCAGTTGCTTCAACTCGACCTGCGATTTACCGCCGGTCACATCGCTGTCCAAATTGGCCAAAAAGTCGCGGCAACACTCGTTGATCATAGGGTACAGGCGTTTCAGTTTGCCTGAAGTGAATGTAGGGCTGGCTATGGCCCGCACCCGCTTCCAGTCGTCATCCCTGGAGCTGAACATGATCTTCGAGAAGAGCTGATCCCGAGCTACGCTGGGCTTACGGTTGCGAAATATGTGAAAGTCTTTCACCAGGATTTGTTTGATGAGCTCCGGGTCCGCAACCGTTAGACTTGGTTTACCCAAATCGTACACACTATAAGTATTGACACAATTATTACTTACATTATACATACACTCATATAATTGCATATAAATGATTTATAAAACAAAATATAATTACCCAAACATTCGACCATATTTTTTATACCACTCCATCTCCACATAAGGCTTTGGCTTAAACATGTGGCTTAAATTGTTGCCCACAAAGGGTAGGGCTCTCGGGCCAGAGATATTGTGCCGCTTCCAGTAGGTTAATAGACGACTCCATTTGCTATAATTAAACATAATAAAAATTAATGTTGAACATGTTAAATTTATTAATTAATATATGGTTAATTTGTTGGTAGATATCTGGTTAAATTAAAAATACTTACAAATGATTGTAGGCTAAAATAGCCACAACAGCTGTGAGTATGTACCAGTGAGAAACTGAGTTTAACACCGAGCTCAATAAAGTTTGTAATTGTAATATTGCCATCACTTAATAATTAATTAATAAAATATTTTTATAAAATTATTATTGTTGTTAAAAAACATATAATTAAATTAATATTCAATATTGCCAAACATGCTCAGTATTTATATTAATTGGAAAATATAATGCACCTTACTAAATTTCACCCAAAGTACCTAATGTTCAATTGCATGTTTGTTAGTTAACTCGTGAATAACATTCAGCTAAACTAATAAAGCAATTAATATGTGTTTTTATCTAATATATAATATAAATAATTTTATAGATTAATTTTATCAATATACAATTGTAAAAATACACTGATTTATAATTGTATGCTGTATAAGTGCATTGGGGTTTTGGCAGTCGTTGTGATTTTTATATACTGTATGCTTGCTATAATAAACAGAATTTAATAATCTAGATTTAATGTACATCTACAATAGAGTACAGTTAAGTCCATACAGTTATCATTTTGACATTTTATAATTAATAATCCAAAGGTTTTGTAATAAAAAATTATAACTTTTATACTTGAAATAATATTTTTAAAATTGTTGAATGTCTAAAAAATTGTCTAAAAACACTTATTTTGACATAAACATTTTACATAATAAAACTATGTTTGTATCTTTTGTAAACGCATTTAATTTTTAATACTTGATCAAATTGCAATAATTTTAATTAACTTTCAAATTATGATAAATAATATATTAGTAAAAAATAATATTTAAAATTAATTTATATTATAAAGCTTAATTAAAGAGTAAAAATACTAAATTATTACTGCCTTTACAATATTAATTAATAATTAGATAACAGTAAAATAAGATTTAATTTGCTTGGTGCTTTCAACTCTTTAAATTTAATTAGGTAAGTTAATTTATATTACAAATTATAACTAATTTTATATTGTCTGAGCAGTTTATACTAACCTACAAACAGATTATGCTATCAGTGTTTCGTGTTTATGATCATATTATGAAATATTTAATTACTTTGTAAAGCAATTACAAAATATATGTTTTAAATAAACTTATAATTATTATATTAATATAAATATAGTATCTTGTTATTTATTTATAATGCTTTTAAATCACTAATTTAAATTAAAAATGAACACTTAAATTTATTAATGCAAAATAATTTGTTTATAATTAACTACAGTCCAAACTATGGATAAAATAATCATGAGCATTTAACGCTTTTTTACTCCCACCACAAGTCTCTTTGCTTGTAGACCATCGCGAGCCTTATTAAACACAACGGGCACATCAGTGTCTGTCACCCGATAAAACTTGTATTGTAAAGTCAATTTGACCAGGGCAAGTTTGGCCTCAAGCAGTGCTAAACGCATACCAATGCAATTACGGGGTCCGGAGCCGAACGGTAGGTATGTATAGGGTTTGATGTTATGGCGATTTTGGGGCAAAAACCTGTCGGGTTTGAAGGCAAACGGGTCGGGATAGTAATCCGGGTCGTGATGTATGGCATACACCGGCATCTCTACAATCACTCCCCTCTCGATCTTAAACTTTGATCCATCGGTATCTCTGGTCAACACCACGTCATCCATGGCCTCCCTCTCCAGTCTAAGTACTGGCGGATAATGTCGTAGGGTTTCCGATAAGACGGCGTCGAGGAGTGGGAGTCGGCAAAGGGTTTCGTAGTCTATGTCTGCCGTGTTTTCATTGAACGCCGCTTTGGTCTCCGCCACCAATTGGTCCTGAATATCGGGATTGAGTGCCAACTCATAGACACAATACGACAGAGCAGTTGATGTCGTCTCAAAAGCGGCGATAATAAAGAGGAAACATTGGGCGAGGATTTCATCTGTGGTTAACTTCTTCTCCACGACTCCACTCAACGCCTGTTTCTCTGCCATCAGTTCATCGACGCCTTCATTCACATCCTGTCCTTCGGCCGCAGCGCTGGCCTCCGGACCCGTTTTCACTGTCCGCTCGTTATTACTGTCCTCTCTCTCCACGTCTATCAGCAACTGTAGAAAATCGTTGTGTTTTTTACCCGATTTCTTGCGCTCAGACATCAAACGTTTGGTGACGTCAATGAAAAACATGACATCAGGACTCCCGGCAAACATAACCGCCTTATAAATCGGGTTTCGGGTCACAAACGTCGGTAATAGTGTTCCCAACAATATTTTCCACGGATTTCTATTGAAACAAGCGTTGGCTGTAGTTATAAACCGGTCGTTTGGGTCGGAATAGGTGTCCGTTTTGGTAGCAAAGGCTGTGCTGGCGATCACATCCATAGTGTAGGCGCCCATCAGTTGCTTTAACTCCACTTCGTTGAGACCGGCGGACACTTTTCGGTCCAAATCGGCCACAAATTCACGGCAACACTCGTTGATGAGTGGATACATGTGTTTGAGTTTACCAGAAGTGAATGTAGGGCTGGCTATGGCTCGGATCCGTTTCCAGTCGTCATCCCTCGAGTCAAACATATTCTTTCTGAAGACACCGCCCCCTCCGGGCGCTGGCCGTCGGTTACGGAAGTTGTGAAAGTTTTTCACCAGAATCTGTTTGATGAGCTCCGGCTCCGACACTATTAGGGCCGGCTTTCCCAGCATATGATATACTCTATTAGATTTTTAATAAGTTTTTTAAACAAATATTTTTAAAGTAATTTTTTATATAATATAATTACCCAATGAGTCGGCCGTAAGTCTTATACCACTCCATATCCACCCATGGCTTAGGCGTTAAGACATGACTTAACCAATTGCCTAAATATGGTATGGGTTTCGGACCCGAGATATTACGGTCCGACCAGTAATTCAGTATACGATACCATTTGCTATAATAAAACACAATTAATTATAAACATGTAACATGTTGCTTTAATTATTTAAATTAATTTATATGTGTATATTTATTTCCATAGTTTACTTACAAATAATTGTAAACTATTAAAGCTAAAATCGCTGCTACAAAATAGCAGACAGATTCTATGTTAAAAATTGAGCTTGTTAATAAATTCATTTTTAGTAATGCCAATACTTGTCAATTAATAGAAATAAATTACTTTTAAAATAGTTAATAAAATAAGTTAATAATTGATTAGGCTCAAATACTAGAACTATTTATATAATTTTGAAATCATTGTACTGTGTTTACACCAATATATTATTAAAGCATGTTAGTAAAATCACTTAATTATTTATTCAGCCCGTACAGCATAAAGTAATCATGTGATTGATACTGGTAGAGTGATCAATTTATACATATTAACAAGGGCAACTTTGAATTATTAACAGATAAATTCCCTGTATTCGTTTTAAGAAATGTTAATTATACTTGTTAAAATTATTAAACTAAATTAAAATTAATGAACAAAAAATAAGTTATAGTTTTTTAAATTTCATTTGATAGTAAAAAAAACTAAATAGTCTAAGGACTGTTGGACACGCTAGGTATTGAGTTAATTGTATGAAATGCTTGTATTGCAACTAATTTTATCATAGAAATGATAAAATATCCCATTATATCATAGACCTTTAAGTACAATACAGTACAGTTAAGTTCAGTAAAGTCTGCAAACTTATAGTGATTAAATATATAATATTTAAACTGATCAATACATTCATTTATTTAATGTTTTATATTTAAGCATGATATCGTAAATATAGCTACTAAAATTTATAATAAGAATAGTTCTAAATAATTCATAATATAACCCTCTGTCTCTTTCTCCCTCTCTCTCTCTCTCTCTCTCTCTCTCTCTCTCTAATTGTAAAATATTGTTAAAATTATATTAAAATTATCATAACTAATTAACAGCGATATTTATTAAAACATTATAATATAATTCATACAGTGTAAGTAATAAATAATTAATTTACTGATACAATAAAATAAATTAATATGTGTTTAGTTAACGCTTTTCAACGCCCACCACAAGTCTCTTTGCCTGTAACAGATCGCGACCCGCATTGAACACAACGGGCACATCAGTGTTGGGCACCGAATAGAAACGGAATTGTTGTATCATTTTGGCCAACACTAGTTTGGCCTCAAGTAATGCAAACCTCATGCCCAGGCAATTACGGGGTCCGGCGCCGAACGGCAGGTATGTATAGGGTTTGATGTTATGGCGATTTTCAGGCAAAAATCGGTCGGGTTTGAAGGCAAACGGGTCGGGATAGTGATCGGGGTCGTGATGTATGGCATACACCGGTATCTCTGCCATCACTCCCTTCTCGATCTTAACCTCTGACCCATCGCTCAGCACCACGTCCTCCATGGCCTCCCTCTCCAGCTTAAGAGTTGGCGGATAATTGCGAAGAGTTTCCGATATAACGGCGTCGAGGAGTGGGAGTCGGCAAAGGGTTTCGTAGTCTATGTCTGCCGTGTTTTTATTGAACGCCTCTTTGGTCTCCTTCACCAACAGGTCCTGAATATCGGGATTGAGTGCCAACTCATACGTACAGAACGACAGCGTTTGGGCCGTTGTCTCAAAGCCGGCCACAAATACGAGGAAACATTGGGCGAGGATTTCATTTTCGGTTAACTTCTTCTCCACGACTCCACTCAACGCCTGTCTCTCTGCCATTAGTTCGTCGACGCCTTCGCTCGAGTGGTGTCCAGACATAGCATCGCCGGCACCGGTAGTCGTGTTGTCCTCTCTCTCCGCATCCATAAGCAGTTGCAGGAAATCATTGTATTTTTTGCCCGACTTTTTGCGCTCAGCCATCAATTGTGTGGTGACGTTGATTAAAAACATTACGTCCGACATTGTTGTGTCATTTCTGGCATTTGTAACAACGCTATACATCCATGAAGTGGTTATAAATGTCGGTAAAATCATTGACGCCATTACTTTCCACGGGTTTTGGTTAAACACATGGTTTGCCGCAGTAATGAACCGATTGTTTGGCTCGTAATAGGTGTTGGTTTTAGTGCCAAACGCACAGCTGGCGATCACATCCATAGTAAAAGCGCCCATCACTTGCTTTAAGTCCACTTCCCGTCGACCGGTGGACACGTCTGTGTGAAGTGCGGCCAAGAAGTCACGGCAACACTCGTTGATGAGTGGATACATGCGCTTAAGTTTGGCTGAAGTGAATGTAGGGCTGGCTATGGCTCGGATCCGTTTCCAGTCGTCATCTCTGGCGCTGAACATAATCTTCGAGAAGATAGGACTCGTACTCAACGCCGGCTTTCGGTTACGGAATTTGTAAAAATATTTCACTAGAATCTGTTTGATGAGCACCGGGTCCGCCACCGATAGGGCCGGCTTTCCCAGCATTGCATATAAACTACAGACAATTAGTTAATAATAACATTTTAAACACATTTTTAGGTAATGTTTTTGTTTAAAATAATTACCCAAAGAGTCGGCCGTAAGTCTTATACCACTCCATCTCAACCACTGGTCTCGGCCTCAGGACATGACTTAATCTGTTGCCCACATATGGTAAGGGTTTCGGACCCGAGATATTACGGTCCGACCAGTAATTCAGTATACGATACCATTTGCTGTAATTAAAATACATACAACATTACAAATGGTTAAATTTATTAATTACTTTATAGTGATAAATATAAACATTACATAATATAAAGTGCATGTCAAATGCATATACTTTTAAATGCTGTTTAACATACTTACAAATGAATGTAGGCTATAATAGCCAGAAATGCTGCCAATAAATACCACATTATTTATAAATTAATTAATATAAAATGTAATTTAAAAAACTATTTGTTACAATATTAACATTATATTTTGTTCACAATTAAAATGTTAAATTTATTATGTATTTATAATAATTGCAATTGAATGTACTCGCTAGATTAATATACAGTAATTATTACCATGTCACAATGAAATACATCACATTATCAATAGGTTATATTCGATAATATAAGAGTTACTTTAACATTGATTTTATTTTATTACATAATTTTTACACATATAATTGTATGACACAAATAATATTATCAAATTATGGTGGATTAAATAAATAACATTTTATATACAGTACACAACACTTGCTATACATACTTTACATGGCATACATATACAATACATTTTTTACGGTACAGCGCACATTATCAAGGTCCAATAACTTATCCTTATCAAATCACTTGAAAACGGTTAATTAACGTATTTTAATTATTACAACTATTTAAAAACATTGCAATAACGTTTGCGGCTAGTCATGCAAAAGTAATATTGTATAACTTAATTAAATAATTTATTATCAAAATTATGTACAGTATTATTAGTCTAACTATATTTACATTAAATATTTAATCAGCAAATTATTTTAAAATTATTCTCAAGCAAAGAAAACTCTAGTATTTTTCCACATAAACATTGACCTTGCAACTTTTATTAACAAAACATATTATTTATTTAAAGTTATTGAAAAATTATTTTATATTTAATTTAATAGAAATAGATTTTAGCCTAAATTTTTTCCTTTTCTAATAAATAAACAAATATAAAATTTGAATAAATAATAATTTTTAATACGATACACAATCAATTGGTTGACAAAATAAACATAATAAAAAAATGTAAAGTATAATTTTTTATTTTAATAAATTAAAAAAGTATTTTGCTAATAATTTTAAACCTCTACCGTTTAGATACGCCCACCACAAGCCTTTTGGCCTGTAAATTATCACGAGCTTTATTGAAAATAACGGGCACATCGGTGTTGGGCACCCGATAGACCCGGAATTGTTGTATCATTTGGACCAAAGCTAATTTGACCTCAAGTAATGCAAAGCGCATACCAATGCAATTACGGGGTCCGGAGCCGAACGGTAGGTATGTATAGGGTTTGATGTTATGACGATTTTCAGGTAAAAACCGGTCGGGTTTGAAGGCAAACGGGTCGGGATAGTAGTCCGGGTCGTGATGTATAGCGTAAACAGGGATTTGGGTTAATATCCCTTTTTCAATTTTTAAATCAAACCCATCGCTACCAGCGCTCAATACCACGTCCTCCATGGCCTCCCTCTCAAGCCTAACAAATGGCGTATAATGTCGTAGAGTTTCCGATATAACGGCGTCGAGGAGTGGGAGTCGGCAAAGGGTTTCGTAGTCTATGTCTGCCGTGTTTTCATTGAACGCCTCTTTGGTCTCCGCCACCAACAGGTCCTGAATATCGGGATTGAGTGCCAACTCATAGA